AACAGAGTTTTATGGCTCAAAATCTCATTACAGGAGCACACACCTGTTTATGACTGCTAGGAAATGTATTTATAGGTCTGAAGGTCTTCCAGGTCTTATTTAAGGCTTCTCTGAAGAGAAATGGCGAAGTGGGCTTTGATTTTGGGCCTTGTGGCTCGTCATGGATTCACCGGGGATGAAAGTGTTCCGAGGCAGGCAAAATGCATGTTTGCCGCGGGTAAGAGTCTTCCGGGGCAGGTAAATTTGGTCAACTTGTTCTCTATGTATCTTTTGATTGCACCGTTGGATCTTCGTGATGTAAAGTGCTATGGAAAGCCGGTTGTCTCTTATTGATTGTCTCTAAATTTGAGCAGGATCAGACGTTGAGAAAGTCTTCATTTGAGGCTGAACTTCTGACAGTCTGGCTGAGCTCAAAAAGTGGATTTCTTCCATTTTGCCATCATTTTCCCCAAGTTTCCTGAAAAGAGCCTTGAAACTACAAATACATATAAATCATAATAAAAGTTCCTAAAACTGATTAAAACCTTTGAAAAAAGATTTGAAACCAATGGTGAAAATGGGTACAAATACAGTGTTATAACCACTCCCTCATTCCACAGAAGCGGAAGATCCTCGATCAGAGGCTCTAAGTATACATAAATGTTATTCCCAGATTGATGCGGACCAGGAGCATGATGTTTTCTCTTCATACACAGGTGAGGAGATTGTAGTTGACCAGTAGAACAGGCCTGCAACTATACCTAGTGTTTTTCATCTCGAACAGATTAAAACCATCTGAGGAGAGTCCAAGCAGATTGTTCCTTTATTCAGCTGCGAAATAAGGGTATCTTTCGTTTACCTGATCTCATGTCACAGAATTTACGGGATGACGTATTCTTCCATCACTGCTCTTGTTTGTAAAGTGCCACCGTAAATCCTTGGTCATTTCTTCAAACCGGAACATTTTCTTGAGATGAGGGATAATAGGAAAATACCTTAACACTTTCTGTGGCACACCCTTCTTTACTTCACCGGTGTGCATGTTTATCTTCCATTATGAAGTGTTGCATTTAGGACAGTTATCAAGCTTCTTGTACATCTTTCTGAATAGGCATCAGTCGTTTAAACAAGCATGAATCTTCTGATCACCTATATCAAAATATTTGAGAAATTTCTTGACATCGTACATTGATGTGCGAAGCACATTATCCACAGGCAACATCTCCGACAATGTCTCCAGCAGATTATTGAAACTTTTGTCTGACCAGCCATTCTGTGTTTTAATCCTAAACAGTGACACAATTGCAGACAACTTGCTATGATTCAAACAGGTTGGATAAAATGATGTTTCCGCATCAGCTAGCATTGAGAGAAACTCATCTTCTAATATGTCTTCACTCTCAGCTTATTCTCCATTTCTAACCAGTTCGTCATCTAAACACTCAGCAGCTTGGAATAAACCAACTACCTCATCATTCCATTGACTTAAGTTGCTTCCACCTTCATTAACTGCGTTCACTTCTCCATGATGATACCAATCAGCCTGTAACAAGGTGATCAACTACATCACTAGGTACATGATAAGCTACATTCCTACAGTCTTTGCATATGCATATTAGCGTCTCAGTATCTCCTAAAGCAGCAGATGCTGCTTCTACAAATTTCCAGGCACCTCGCTCATACGCAGGATCAACTCTTCGGTTGATCAGTATGAACAAAAAATATAAAGAAAAAAAAATTCTTAAAGTCTCTAATGATCAACAACTGAAACCAAAACCTATTATGTTAATTTCAATACCTACAAATATGAACCCATCCCTTCTCCAGCATTATCTGTTCTAACCTTAATCACATTCGCAACATTTTAAACACACAAGCATAACTCAAACTATTAACACCAATAACTGACAATCACAACCACAGTCATGTAATAAACAACTTCTAATACTAACAATTTGATGGATGTCACATACCCGTTCAAGTTTCAGTAGGCAGATATTGTGAATTCAAGTGTCTTTGAGCCACAAAATTTCTTCAGAACTCTAAACTTGGAATTACAAAGATATGCAGTTGAAAAAGTGAAATTAGTATAGTCGTATTCCTTAATTTCGACCACATATGAACCCTAATTTTGGAATAGAAATTGGGAACGAAATAAATTACCTGTTCAGCTTTTCTACGAGACACAATGATGATGATTCTCTTGATTCTGTTTTCTCTCGACCCTCTGTGTTTGCTAGTGAGCTTGAATTTTAGACACCTCAAGACATGCACGATAGTTGAATTAAAGTAAGGATACATATATGAAACTCAAATCAAAACAAATTAGAAGTTTAAAACTAGGGTACCTTTTCATGTGAATCGTCTTGAAGGAGAACAAGAGAAGATATTTGATTCGATCCAACGAGACTGATACCAAGACTGAGACCGAGACAGAAGTAGTTAAGCCCAACGAGTCTAAGGATAAAGGAGATCTAGGTCATATTGAAACCAGACGGAACTCAGAAGGAAATTGCGGCTGACAGAGACGAGATTGTTGCTGGCATGAAGGAGATCTGGCCGGGGACTGATTCCTAAAGGGGATATTTTTTTCAAAGCTCTTTTTTTTCTGCGTCTATTATTTTTGTCGAGTAATACACTTAGGCGCCTTTACCCTTTTTTTTTAAGTGTTCCCGAATAAGTGAAATAATGAGAGGCAAGGAGAGATTTAGCTTCCTGCTGATGTTTTATTTGGGTTAGCATTTATCAAATGCTATGATAGGGTAACCCAAGACTCCGAACCACCTATAATAGCAGTTCAGAAAACTATGCTATTATGTTGTGCTATCAATACGCAAGTTTCTTATAGTGTTGATTCAAACAAGATAATAAAGCTTATAAGTGTTTCTAGATTAAAGTTCCTTATAAACTCAATGGTTAACCTATTTTCATAGAGTTAACACCTATTCCTTAATAACTTAACTACCCAGCGTTTGTTGGTAGCCACTCAGCAGAGAATGCAATAAATCAAGTTCATCATTCACATAGCCCTATAAGTATGTGCTTGTATCTCATACAGTAATTTCTCTCCTAAATTAGGGGAAGTTAGTAAATTCAGCACGCAAGTGGTTTTATTAATCCTAAGATTAGTATAATTCATGACGCTAACTTCATGCAATAAGAGCTAACCTGATAGAAGAATTTAATATGATCTTGGTGAAGATCTTCCCCTGATTGGCACTCTAGTGACTGGATCAGATAGAACTTGAACTTAGAAACACAAGGAATCAAGCACAAGAGAATGGATTGAAGGGTCGCACAAGAGTTGCAGAAGACTCTTGATATTCCCGAGTGATCTAAGGATATGACACACCTTTAGATCGATTTGCTAAAGAGATATTACACACTCTAAAGCTAAGATGATCAAAGAAAAAATGATCTTAACTGGAAAGAGATTTGATAAAAGATAATAGGAGTTTTACAAATGAAAATACAAGACGCTATAAAGAAGAACAAGTCGGCCAAAGACATAAATGAGTCTTGGCAATATCATAGAAAGCTGTCAAGTTTGAATTCGAGTTTTGGCTCATCTTCTCTCCACTTGGGCGAGACTTGTTGTGGGCTTGGGCTTAGTGGACTTAGGATAGATAAGTGATCCATTCTTACCTCATTAAAACCCTATCTCTAGAAAAGCCATTGGGACAAAACTAGAGATAGGAAAAAAGAGTACAAGAACAAATCACAAGTCTACTTAGCCAGCTTGAACTTGGATAAGAATCAATGTATTTGTTGTAGACCATTTTCCCTCTGGAACTGTCTTGTAAGCTTGCTTGGTGATGTTTCCTACGACCTCTTTGAGCTTCTTGGTTCTTGATCGAGTCATAGGTTTGTTAGGAATGATCAAAGGCTCCTCTTGTTCATCTACAAGCTTTCCATTCTCAGGTTCAAGCTCTCCTTGATCTATGTTGCTGTCCATGATCACATCAAACTTCTAGAAATCGAGTTATGTTTAATACTTGCAATCCTTATCAATTATGTAACCTCTTTGATTTGAATCCCCTTAAATCCAGCTAGAAAACCACTCAGACATAAAATGAGTTTATAAATTGCATAATCAATAAATCAGAGAAGAGATTAAGTGTTCAAGAGAAATCGCTCTCCCTAAACAAAGAACATTAAACAAAAAGCTAAAGAGTTTGGTGCTATGAAATTTTGATCTAAGGGTCGTACACGAAATAAGAAACCTAAAACAACATATTTATAGGTCTTGAGGTCTTTAAAAAGTGTCTAGGGCTTGTCCTTGTCGAAAAAGAAAAAGGATTTAGAGTGGGCTTGGAATTGAGCTTGCTCTGGGATTTTTTTAATCTGGCAGCAAGAATGAGTCTCCTGCCTGCGGTGGAATGCTCTATGGCCACACTCAAGACGCTTCACGTTACGGCATGAGTGCTTTTCTTGTTTCTGCACCTGCGCTTGATGGGGCTTCAGTGAACTTCAAATCAATTGCATATGAAATTTGGTTGATCCCTCTATCTTTTTTCCAAATTTAGGCTTTATCAAAGGTCGAACTTCTGATGGTGAGAAGGTTTCAACAAAATTTGAACTTCTAACGGCATGCATCTTCCCGAAAACGGATCTTTTGCTTTAATTTGCATTACTTTGTCTAGATAATTTGGAAAAAGTTTTGACACTGCAAATATGTGAAAATCTTAATAAAACACTAATAAACAAGTGTAACTCTTGCTAAAGTGCTTAAAATCCAGATGAAAAATGAGAAGGCTATCTTTGACATATGAAACACTAATTTAAACATTTCACTTGGGTACATATGTGTAGTGATGAACGCCGATTTCGATTGTTTTTATTTTTTTAATATTATACTACCTTTGGTTTCGATTGTTTTTTTTTTTTTAATATTATACTACCTTTGATTTTGATTGTTTTTACTGTTGGGTTTCCATGCTTTTTCGAGGTAAAACGATACAAAAGAGTAAGTAATATTAAATTATACACGTGTAGTGGAACGCACGAGATGTTTTAAAAAGTTGAAAAAAAAAACACAGATCAAATGTCCTCAAGTAACATTATGAAAGCGTTTTTATTATCATAACAAACATATATTTTGGTTGCCTCATACATTGAGACACCTATTATTACATAGAGCTGACAAAGTCAACTATTTCAACCACATCATGGAGCAACGAGTTGGAGTTGACCACCCTACAGTTCTGCCTGATCTGTCCTTGAGAGCCGGTCAAAGGCGTAATGTTTCCCATCCTATTCATCGCTTCGATGAACGCATTGAAGAACTTTTCCGTGCCATCAGCATATGATCTAACCAAGGGGACTGTGTCAGTCGCATTGGGGCTCGAGAACAACTCTTGATCAGTTTGGATAAGTCCTTTGAGCTCTTTCAGATTCTTATAGTATTTGTTGTCGAAAACCGTCGGTGTTCGTAGGTCGAAATCCACTAAAACGCTCTGGTTACCATTACGAGGGCACAGTCCGCGAAGAGTCTGGAGATAAGTAGTGTTGAGGGTAGGATCTGGTAAACCAGTGTTGCTGAAGTTGTATAGCCTGTCCATAATAAACTGACATTGGTTTTTACCAAACGTGTGACCACCTAGAGAATAACAGTCACCACATTCGTTAGTATAAATACATCAAATGTGTATTTTGATTATTGTTACTAAGGAAACATGATTACCGGAGAGAGCAACGAGATCAGAAGGACGATCGAGACCGACATTTGCAAAACTGGCTTTAAGTTGTGGAAGTGTGAAGAATGGAGCGGGAAGATTTGCATTAGAGAGATCAAAAAATGCTTGTAAGCTATCTCGTCTCCCCAAAGGAACCCTCCAAGAAGGACCTCCTGCCTAAAATATCCATATGATTTGTTTAGAAAAATAATGTTGACAATGTAAAAGTATTGATGTTTTATACACAAAAACAAAAACTTATACTTTCTTTGTTCCACAAAGAGTCCTGTTATTTTACAGTTTTCCAGATGTATAAAAAAACATTCAAAAAATTATTTTGTCTTTATTAATACGCTAAATATTTTTTTTCCTTCTAATTGATACACCTAACAATAATATTAAAACTTGAATTTTGTTTAAATAGTAAATAGGAGGATAGCATTAAATATAAATTGTCATGTTCTCAAACAACTTGATTATTAAAGTTTTTTCTTCAATCATGTGTTGTGATGTGTAATATATCTACTGACGACTTCATGTAGGGCAGTAGGAATTTAAAACAGTGTTTTGCATAAAATTGAAAAAGCGAGGGTTGTGTAAATAGAGTATACCAAATTGACAGATTGTTGAGCTGCGATGGTAAGAATATCTGCACATGAAACAACCCTTGGGCATGCTGCTTCAACTGCTGTTTTCATTCTATCAATCACTGGAAATCCCCGAGCCGAATTGGCATTTGGCGCTGCGTCTTTTTCTGTTCGAAATGATGTTGTGTTGTCTAACAAGATCGATGCATCACAACCCTTTTGCAAACGAAAACGAATTGTTCGAAGATTAGTCAATGATTTTCAACCATGATCAAATTTTTGACACCCGTAAACATCGTGAGATTATGTTTATCATTCACTAAAACAAACATAGTAGACACAAAGTAATACTGTATATAATTTATTTTAACGCCTAACACCAAATTCACAATTTTGATTATTAGCCTATGATAATATTTCTACTGTATTTCTACTTCTTTTTTGTAGAGTAATTTCTGGTTTACTATGGTTCAAGAAACATCACACGTTAAAACAATTGTTCTAACAACAACACCTGATTGAAAGATTAAATTTCTTTTTAAAAATATGAATAAATTAGGTTTACGGTAAGCGTGAAATGTTTGAATGATTTATAATATTTTTTCTTCTTTCCTAACCATAAATGATTGATATAATAAATTCGTAACGTGTTTGGTACGGGTCCACGCTCTTCCTAATAGTCTATAATACAAACAATTGATGTTTGCTGAATTGGTGTATATGTTTTGGGATCATCTGTCTACAGTAGATTAAATAATAACTCATTTTTGACGACAATAGCTAGGATATTGGACAGTAAGAACCAAATCTAAGTATGTGATATTTTATAATGATAATTTTTCTGGATCAGATCCGTTAGGCCACTGACTATTATTGTAGATAATGCATCATCTTAACTAATACCACAAAAATTATTATAAACTAAATCTTCTAATTAAATTTCATTAATTATTAATGCAGGTAAACTGTAAACCACGTGTTATGTTGTCGTTGCCAATATTTACAACTGACAAAGACGTATTCTTTTTGAATTTTCTTGAGTGTCTCCATACTCAAGTAGATAAAATACATATTGACAACAAAAATCTAAGATTGCCACAACAATCAACATTAGTGAAACGTAGTTTTCTTAATATATATGATAACAGAAAAGGAACTACTTAATTCTACGATAACAGCTAATCTACACATATATTATGAATTAAACGAAAGTCTACTACTAAACTTGAAAAGTAATAGCTTACATTAACGAAGCAGTCATGGAAGTGAAGTCGAAGGATGCTCGCAGCGATACGAGGATCCGACCGTAGCTCGTTAACAATGGTATCCCGTACGATGTTGAAGACGCTAGGGCATGAAGTGTCGTAAAAAGTAGGAGTTAGCTGAGCACAGGAGAAAGATGAATGAAGCATAAGACATCCCATTGTTATTATGGTTGCCCAACTTGACAACGAAGAGAAAGAAGAGAAATGCATTTTTTTGGTCATACGAAGAAATGTTTTTGATTAGTTTTAGTAGAGAAAGATGAGGAAACACCATATAACAAAGACTCCTTTTATACACAAACTGGGTCTAACTTGTAGGCTTTCTTTTTTGTAAACAGTTTTATACTTTATATATATATATATATATATATCTATATATATATATATGTGTGTAATAATTTCTCCCCTTTTTTTTTATCAACAACTCTATATATACTTTCTCTATATCAACAACTATATTAACAATTGCTATCCATTATCATATGTATATAAAAAGTTATGGCTTTATTTTTTTATGTTCAAGTGGTTGTCCAAGGTCAAGTGTTGATATGAGGACCGTACATACTCCAATTCTCCAATTCTAGAACTAGAACATGTAAAAATGGTTCCGTTTTAAGTACCACTTAATCCTACGACTTTGAGACTTCGTATGTGGTAATACGCTAGCGCTCTGGACCCATCTAACATGATTCTCAGTCCAATATGCTAACTCGGATAAGGTATTTCTTCTATAACAACAAGCACTTATTCAGAGAAAGATCAAGTTTCTTACATGCTTTCTTTCTCTACTCTACTCACATTTCCGATTTATGAAAAGTATCTCTTCTTTCTTTATATTCACCAAAACATCTAAGAATCGTATGAAATGCGCCACATATCTATATCTTTTTTAGAGTAACTCAATCGTAACTTTTGTATATTTCCTATGTTAGGCGAAATCATATTTCCTAAATACTTCTTTTAGGATCTTAATTACAGTTTTCGAAAAACACCACACTGGTAATCTTAGACTACCACTTGTCTTTTTCTTATTTGTAAGGGACTCTCTTTAATGGACTAAAAACTGCCATTATATATTAAAACTAAGGAGGTTTTTTGGGAACTTATGTGGCCTTGTGAGTAACCTAGAGAGTGAGACACTCAAACCATGACTGCATTTTATAGTTTACCAAACACTATAACCTTCCCCGGAACATCTCAACTGCAGCATCAAATAGTCTTCAAGAAAGATCTCCCAATGTTCTCCGAGACTTTGACGGTTTCTTCTTTGGCACATGTCCATTTACTAACTACTATCCCCAACAATTGATTCTGATTATTACAAATGCAGATACCCAAATTTTCACACGGAGATATAAATACATACAGTTATATTTATTTTATATAATCCCATGAAAAATGGATTCAACAATTGTATTCTTAATCTATTTTTTGTAGACTTTTACATATTGAAGACTAGTTAAGTAGCGCTGAATTTTAAAAAAACCATTATTTAACCATGAATTAATTTTAGAAAATGTATTTGTAATTTCTGAACTCTTTACTTTTCTTTTTTCATCTGACCAATGGTCCTTCAATTTTTTTTAGTGGTCAGCGTAATTGAAAAGTCTCGGTCTTTTAATTTTTGTGGCTTTTGTTTGATGCTGATGTCCGTGTCCAAATGTTACATCAACCAGCAAGAGTCTGAAATTTAGCGTTTGATTTCTTATGAATTTATAAAGATAATAAATGACTAAGGCTATGATTCGTTGATAGTTTTAGAAGAAAAAGAATGCGATACAAAAATCACTGTTAAATCTGCCAAAAAATACCCATCAAAAAGAAAACCGACGAAAAATATTTCCCCGTTAATTCCTCTAGAAGTAAAAAGAAAAGTAAGAGAGTTTCTTTCTGAAGTTGTTTTTTTTTCGTGAACAACATAAATAACTAGAACAGTTCAAAAATATAAACCGGTGATATTAAAATTCGTTATAAATGATAGACACAAGCATTGCGTAGTAGTTACTTGTTCATATGTTATTTCCGCATGGAAAAAGCAAAGATTATGTGAGGGAAAATATTTCTTCTCAGTTCCTTTATTATTTTAGTTTACTTTTCTGTTCTTTTTATTTCGTTTTCTTCCCTTTTACTCTAACGCTACACCAATCAAACCCTAAGATATTCTTAATCACAGTTGAAAAGTGACAAATAATCTTAACCATAAAATCTATTCCATATTTTTTAGATTTACAATGTGTTATTGCCGGCTAGTCAATGTTATCACGATGCTTCGCACTTCGCATAAAAGGGTATCTTCCGAATGGGATAATAGACAAGAAAGAAATCATCATTTCCTATGAGAACTTACATTCAATTTTCAATTGTAATTAAAACGTTTCAATGAACAATGGAAGGTCTCAACTGCTCACTATTGCAAGAAAACTATAGTGATAAATAAAATATGTTAACGTGGGGGAATAAAACGCTTGGCACATTGACATTAAGATACAATTTTCCATCTCCCGGACAAACAGGAAATGTACAATTGTGTGTTTATAAAATAAATGAAACCGTTCACCTAATTTGATGACTAACTCAAATTCAACGATCGCTGGCAGCTGTCTTTTTGGACTCTAACCTCGATTTATTTATGGTAATAATAGATGATGGATTTTTCTGCAGAAAATGGTTGAAAAAATCGTATTTGTTATAAACTATAACATAAATAACGTGATATATATATATCTATATACAATTTTACATGTTGCGCTCATAACGAATTTCACAACTCTTCGCTTACGTGTCAGCTTCTGAATAAGTTTCAACTGCAAAAAGATCGTTTAGCCCTATTAAGCAATAACATATCATTTTTTAATTGGTTCTTATGTGATGATGTGTAAAAAAAAAACTTAAAACAAACCGGTCTAAATTATTATGGTTTAATGCTTAATTTCGTATTCAATCAAACCGTTTTTAAAATTATATAAAACCAAAATTTAATAAAAACGTTTTAGAAAAAAAAACAAAAAATGAAATCTATATCTCTTATGGAATGGTGTATAATGCCTATCACCATTTTAAAAAAATTAGATATAGGTTAGTGTTCTCGATAATTATGATATATAGGTTAGTGTTTATCATTTCTTAAGTTTCCGAAATTCAAAAAAAATCTAACAAAAATGTTAAAAGAAACAAAAAATGAAATCTATTTAAAATTAATGGACTGTCGTTTCAAAACAAAAAAAATATAAAATTAAAAAAATATCTAATAAAAAAGTTAAAAAGGAATCTATATATCTAACTAATAGAATATCGTTTAAAAAAAGGAAATCATCTCTAACTAATAGAATGTCACTAATTATTATGATAGATACATTAGTTTTTACAATTTTTTATGCTTATAGGATTTTTGATTTCTTATGATTTAGTATAAATATCAACCACTTTTCTTTAATTCTCTCACAACTTTCAAAATTGTATAACCTATTCCTTCTTCTTCGTTCTAACTAAAAACTCATGGAATCATGGTAAACCTAACTAACATTTTTCTAAACAAGTAGTAAATAAGAAACAACTTAATTCATATCGGTCTAAATTATTATAGTTTAATACTTCAATTTATTGTCAATACCGTTTTTCAAATTTAATAAAACCGATATTTAGTCAAATCTAACGAAAAAATAATTATCAATCAATGGAATGTCTATTATATAGAAAGTTAAGTCGACAGGAGTATGGATAATTATTATGTATCTATTATATAAAAGTTCAGTTGTGAGTCACAATTTTAATACATCGGCACATACTTTTTTGACACAATAGCTTAAACCTTGTATTAATTAATGAATTAATTTCTTATGATTTTCCTAGAAACCTATTCTTTCACAAAACAAACAACATAATTTTTTTAATACAGTTCTTTCTTGACTGTTCTAATCGTAATCGTATTTCTACCCAAATAATTTACTCCAATCCATATGATTATCAAACAGTTTTAGTTGTCTAATGATCGATATCTTAATTCATGGAAGGATTAGTCAATGGTAGTAACAAACCGTAGATCTGATGGTGATGGCATATTAATCTTGATTTAGAGGCATGTACTTCTCAGAATTATTGTAGTTCAGTTTACACACTTCCAAGTAATATGAACTTCGCTTCTGGGTCATGTGTGAGGGTGATATTTTGTTTTTCGGAGGAAGTGTTACACTTATAAGAAGTTTGGAGGACTAGATCACATGACTTCTATTTGTGGTCATTATAGGTTGCGTTTAGTTTATAGATTGTCTTTCCGTTGATTTCTTCTATGGTCTCGTGCTAATACACCATGTCGTGGATTTGAATTTCAATGTTAATACATTCTTTATTTATATATATATAAAAGGGGTTTAACTTAAGTATACTTAAGGAAGCTTTACAAAACAACGAGATTTGCTAATGGTTTGTTCTTCTTAGTTGAGTAAAATTCACAGAACAGAAAAAGAGAAGCTTCCACAGTAAGATGGATGATATGATTATCATGTTATTTTTGTCAATTTCTTGGCTCTAGAAGAAGTTTTTGTGGAGAAAGGGTAAATAGAAATTATATCATTATGTGTGCTTAAAGAGCTTCCTCTATTTTATCAGGTCTTGGATCTGGGAATATTATATAGGTCTTCACTAACAAGCAAAAACAAAAAGAAGCCACGAGAGCGGCCTAACACAAATTCGATGTTGAAAATGGAGTAAGACGTATTTGGAAGCTTTTACGAAAAGTGGTCATGCATATCCAAATTCAAGCCATGATAAAAAGGGTTAATCCTGATAGTATAGAAGAGCAAAGTCTAACATATCAAAAATATATTTTTAAAGCAAAACAAGTGTATGATTTGAGTGAACCAAAATGTCTTCATGCTATATAAAAGTTTTTTATATATGATGTTATAGACTTATAGGAATGATTATTAGTTTTTTTATTTAGTTTACAGTGTTTATTTCAACTTTCTGATCTTAGGGGAGATTGCAATGATCTGTACCATTGAGAAATATGTTTGGGTTCAACTAAAATATTTAGTATTATGTACATATAGTATTCATTGGATTCTCAAATCTAGATTTGTGTATGATTTTTAACGTTTTTCAATATAGTCTTAATCGAAGAAAAAAAAAACAGTAAAAAAAAGCTAACCAAAACTAGATCACCATATGAAAAACAACTAATGTTTTTCTCCATGGTCGCCCAAAAACACCAACAGTCTGAACCAAATTTTAAAGAAAACTGTAGTCTGATGTGCTGCGAGGTGAGGGAACAAGTTTTATTCTTAATAAAAACAAATAACAGTCGCAAGTGTACAACTAATCAGTTGTAGTACTTAGA